TTCCAGTGTTCTTTAGCAAATTGTAATCTGGCTTTTTTTTTGTTGACTCTGGATTTTCCCATGTTGTCACACACAAAAAAAGTATACTATTCTACAGTTGTGCCTCCAATTAACTCAAATGTTGTCAATTAGCCAATCAGAAACTTCCAAAACCTTGACATCATCATCTGAGCTTTTTCAGAGGCAGAATAATCTTATTGTTTGTAAACTTGACTTTCAAGAAAAGTTATAACAATTTCTCAAAAGATATCTCTCTCATCATTCTGCTATTAAGCAAAACAAAAACAGAAACACATTTGATAATCCTAACTTACTTAAAAAAGAAAAAGTTTAGTCACATTAACATCTGACTTTTTTTTAAATGGTTATGTGCCTTTTTATATAGTGTATGTAGACTTTTGGTTTTAACTCTATATACAAAAAGGGGTTCACATAGCGGTTGTACTATGAAACTGACACAGGTGTCAAACTCAGTTCCAAAAGGGCCGCAGCTCTGCACAGTTTAGTTCCAACCCTAATTAAATACACCTGATCAAACTAATTGAGTCCTTCAGGCTTGTTTGAAACCTACAGGTAAGTGTGTTGGAGCAGGGTTGGAACTAAACTGTGCAGGGCTTCGGCCCTCCAGGAATTGAGTTTGACACCCCTGCACTAGCCGATTTAGTGTTAAGGGTTTCATGGCAATTTTTTTTTTTTTTTTTTTTTGCACATTCCACCAGTAAGAGCATAGTGTGAAGGTTTAATTAGCAGAGAAATAGCACAGTCTTGCTTAAAATATTGCAATGCACACTACCTAATGGGTGACATATCAGCGTTCAAAAGATGACAAATTGTTGCTGCTAATCTTAATGATGTATCAAGAGCCACAGTATCCAAGCTAATGTTAGCTAATATTAGCAACAGGAGTAATTGAGGACATAAGAAAAAGCTGTCTGAAAGGGATCTCTGAGTGCTAACCCCGATTGTATCTGAAAAAATAAACAACATGGGACCAGAGCTGCCCGATTCACTGCAGAATTAAATGTGCACCTCAACTCTCCTGTTACAAGCAAAACTGTTGGTTGGAAGCTCCAAGTGGTCAATATATATAGTCAGACTGCTATAGTCACTCGTGCCAGTGCCAAATATTGGTTTCAATAGTGCCAGAAGTAAAAATCTTGAGCTGTGAACAAATTGAAACATGTTTCACCTTCACTGTCTTTCCCACGTGTGGAGAAGCCACAAAGAAGCATGCACAGAATAAAGCATGGGGGTGGATCAGTGATGGTTTGGGCTGCAATATCATGGGCTTCCCAAGGCCCAATACTTGTGCTGGATGGGCATGTCACTGCCAGTGACTACCGGACCATTCTGGAGGACCATGTGCACCCTATGTGTCAAACAGTGTATCCTAAAGGTACATTTACCTTTAGGTACATAGGTTTATGAAGATAAAAAGTGAAGTTGAACATCTCCCATGGCCTGCACAGTCACCTGATCTAACTGTCATTGAGCCACTTCAGGGTGTTTTGGAGGAACCAGTCAGGAAACGTTTTTCTCCCCCATTAGAGCTTGGTTTTTGGTGCTTAGAGGCTAATAAAAATGTAAAGCTAACGCTCCTGGTGTTGAAACACTTTCCTAATGTACAACCAAGTGTGCCGCAAGCCTACGTTTGAGTGAAGGTTTCGGCTGTTAGATCGCCCCCTGGGGGCTGGCTGCAGTACAAGTCATAAAGCCCGCCTCCTCCGTGTTAATGAAGGAGACTTGAGCCCAAATAAAAAAAAAATATTACACTTGCAATAAAATGTCCCGAAAGATAGTTCTGGTCGATTAAGGCACTGGTTATTGTGCTGAAATATGTGCAGATCTTCATTTTTGTGAACAGTTTGTTTTTAGCAGTAATTTAATGCTGGGCGTGTCATCGTGATTGACAGCTGTGATCGACAGTTTCTCAAAGCGCGGCGTCTGAGCTTCGGCAGGAGACTGAAGTAGACTGAAATGTTATTATTCGATTTCTGTGTTATTTTACCATGACAAAATGAGTTCAGCAGTAAACTATAGTTTCTGACATACATGATCCTGGTGGAACACTGTTTATTCGCTAAGTTCAGGGCTTTTTTCGGGCTTTATTAGTTTGCTGATACACGCCTAGCCACCCAGATAGCAAAACACAGTTCCGGCTAGATTCTCGCCTGCCGGAGACTTATCTCTTAGAGCTTAGACGGACTAATGTTACCTCTGCTGGACCTACTCCGGATGCCTGGACTCACTGCCCGATTCCAGTCCGAGTCAATCGAGCCAGATGCGGCGGCCGAGAGAGCCGGCGCTGCCGCATGCGAGCCGGAATCAGCCCGCGACGCCGCGAGTAAGTTATGCGCTGCGGCCTGGAGCTGGCGCGATTGAATATATAAAACCCTCATATTTGTTAACGTTATTACATCCATTTGTGTTGATATGACAGCAAACGCATGCTGAGAAGTTCGGGGGGCGTAGTTGATTTTACATAAAGCGTTTGATTGGAAGCTCGACTCTGCTCATTTTCGCGGCTCCTCCTCTGGCTCCATCAGACAATCCTTCTGCGCATGTCTGGCTCCAATTTCAGCAGTCTTTTGCGACAGTTTGTGCCCGTCAAGCAGGCGTTTTGCCCTCAAGGCGTTCAATGGGAAAAAGGGCTGTCGAGTCGTCCATATTTTTTACAGTCATTGTGTACAACCCAGGGTGGAATACAAGACATTCACCGACTGATAATGTCCCTGAACAGAGTAAACACAACAGCAAAACATGCCTCTGATTGTTTGCCAATTTCTGCTAGTGGTAATTTGCTATAACAGCCGGCTGGATATATAAATATTGCTGTTTATTACACGACTGCTTGCCACATAAGAAAGTAATTACACAGGAAATATCGATTTGAGCCGAAATATATTATTACCTCATTAAAGGGTTCTGCAAAGAAAAACAATTCCTAGCAAGCAGCTCTAAACAAACAAGACCAAACAAGACACATTCAGGTGAAAAATTACAGCCGTATTGCTTATTGCACAGCTTTTCAGCAGGTAAATGAAGACAGCAACATGAAATATTGATTTCAGAAGAAACTGTTTACTTTTTTTTTGAAACATTACTTTTTTATTACCCCTCAGTCCACTACTATGTAGGAACAAATAATTCTAACAACATCACAAACACATCATCAACAGGCCAAATAATGAAGTCCAACTGAAATTAAATGTATGCTTTTCTGTCCTTAAAAGGACAGTTCATACAAAAATTAAAATTTACTCACCTTTTACTCACCCTCAGGTTTCAAAGTTGAACACAAAAGAAGATATTTTGAAGAAGGTTTGAAACCTGTAACCACTGATTTCCATCATAGAAATTGCAAGTCAATGGTTTTCAACATTTTTCAGATTAACTTAATTAGTATTCAACAGAAAAAAAGACACTCAAACAGATTTGTGACAAGTGATGGGCGTCTAAATGATGACGGAATTTTTTAGTTTTTAGGTGAACTATCCCTTTAATATCTCTTAGCTATGCTCAAAAAATGACCAAATTTATTTTAAATATTGTAACCAGGGCTTAATGTTAACTTTTCTAATCAAATCCCACTGTGGCTATTAGATTTCCGACATCACTAGCCACTCGCCTTTTTCACTAGCCACACTTTTACTGTTGGGAAAATATATTTTATATAAATAAATTTGACTTTGACTTTATAAATAAATTTAAAATTACTTGATTACTTGTTTTCCACATGCCCCTTAATCATTTAAATTTTTGTGCGACCGATAACGATAACCTTAAAAATAGCATTTATCGGCAGATAGCGAAAACCTTAAAAATAGTATTTATCGCCCGATAACGATAACCTTAAAAATAGAATTTATCCTCCAAAATCGATAACGTTAAAAATAGCATTTATCAGCCAATAACGATAACCTTCAGAAATAGCATTCATCGCCCAATAACGATAACCTTAAAAATAGTATTTATTGGCCGATAACAATAACCTTAAAAATAGAATTTATCAGCCAATAACGATAACCTTAAAAATACCATTTATCGGCCGATAACGATAACCTTAAAAATAGAATTTATCAGCCAATAACGATAACCTTAAAAATACCATTTATCGGCTGATAACGATAACCTTAAAAATAGAATTTATCAGCCAATAACGATAACCTTAAAAATACCATTTATTGGCCGATAACGATAACATTAAAAGTAGAATTTATCAGCCAATAACGATAACCTTAAAAATACCATTTATCGGCCGATAACGATAACCTTAAAAATAGAATTTATCGTCCAAAAATGATAACCTTAAAAATAGCATTTATCGCCCGATAACAATAACCTTCAGAAATAGCATTTATTGGCCGATAACAATAACCTTAAAAATAGAATTTATCAGCCAATAACGATAACCTTAAAAATACCATTTATCGGCCGATAACGATAACCTTAAAAATAGAATTTATCAGCCAATAACGATAACCTTAAAAATACCATTTATTGGCCGATAACGATAACCTTAAAAATAGAATTTATCAGCCAATAACGATAACCTTAAAAATACCACTTATCGGCCGATAACGATAACCTTAAAAATAGAATTTATCGTCCAAAAATGATAACCTTAAAAATAGCATTTATCGCCCGATAACAATAACCTTCAGAAATAGCATTGATTGACCAATAACAATAACCTTAAAAATAGTATTTATCGACCAATAACAATAACCTTAAAAACAGCATTTATCGGCGTACAACGATAACCTTAAAAATAACATTTATCGGCCAATAACGATAACCTTAAAAATAGCATTTATCGGCCGATAACGACAACCTTCAAAAATAGCATTTATCAGCCGATAACGATATGGTTGCCGATATATCGTGCATCGCTAATTTCATTTGTACTTCTGTAGTTTAACCTCTGCATGTGGTAAATCAAAATCAGCCATTTGAGAAAACCATGTTGTAACAGAAACGTCACATTTTTGTTCTCTCACCTTAGTAGGGGTCTTATTGCTGGTGGGCAGCCTCCTGGCGGCCATGCCAACCAGAGCACAAGTGAAGGCGGAGGACAGGAGGATGACGGAGAACACCAGCACCCAGGGGAGAGAGCAGAGGTAGCAGGGCCCGCCGGCAGAGGTGCAGACCAGCACATGGAGGGCAGAGCCGAACAGACACAGCAGGTAGAAGGGCAGAGAGAGCAGAGACGATGCCAACGGGACATCCACCACCGCGTCCCTGCTCAACGCCTCCGGCATGGCCAACAACAGCAGGAACAACACCTGGAGAAGCAGAGAACGATTTAATTACACACACTAGAGACTTAAAAATATATCACGATATTTTTTGGTATTTATTGAGATAATGATAAACATAAATCATAAATAACAAGTATTAGTTACACACAAAAGTACTGCATTTTTTGAAATTAGTATTTATTTTCTTTATAAATACAGTAGAATTCAAAAATATTAGCCTTCCTGTGAACATTTTTTTGCTTTTTTAGATATTTCCTAAGTGATGTTAAACAGAGCAAGGAATATTTCAAAGTATTTCCTGGAATATTTATTTCATTCTAAGACTGAAAGAAAAGCAAACAATTTTAAGGTCAATATTATTAGCACTTATGAGAGTTGTCAATTTTTCAATTGTTTATTATCCCTAATTATCATAATAACCTAGTTAAGTCTTTAAATTCCTCTATATATGCTTTCTCCTATTATTTTTTATATTTTTTAGGCTCTTGGATACCTACTATTCAACGGAGCTCAACACACTGAACTGGCTTATCAAGCTTTTCAGGATCATAAATACACAAGCTGATGTTCTGAAGCAGGTTATAAACTTTGCAGGACCCCAAGAACAGAGTTCAAGACTTCTGAAATAGTGTAGTGATCACACACTGTAATGTTGTTTGATTCATTCATGATTGATTCAGGGCGCTCTTCTTCATAAACTTCACATGTAGATTACTGAATAAAAACACCACCATGATGGAAACATCTATCAAGCATGAACACAATAAACAAATGCTTGTGACAAAATCTGGATGATTCCTGTTCATCAAACCCTCCTCATGCAATGCTAATTGACGTAGCCCTTATCGCTGTGAGGGATACAATAAAACAGTTTGATTTCTTTCATGTTCAGTGATATGAAACATATCTGCTTGCAAAAATATTTAATTTATACTGGTATACTTTTTTATAGTTAATTACTGCAAAAACAGCCAGTAAAATACCACATACATTCTTTACAGTTCACTACTGTCATATGCACTGCAATGTGGGTCAATTAAAAAAAAAAAATGTGTAAAGTCACTGCATGTTAGCAATTATACTACCTGATTATGCTGCTATACTTTCTATTATATATATATATATATATATATATATATATATATATATATATATATATATATATATATATATACATGGCTTTACATTAGAATTGAGAAGCAACACGACTGATAAAAATAATTGCTGTAACGACGGGGAGTGACACTGACAATAGAAGGTAGGATCCAAATGCAGGTTTATTCAAAGTCAGGCAAGCGATGGTCAATTTAGGTGCAAACAGATATATGTAGACAATCCAGAATCATAGTCGAATAACAGGCAAAAGGTCAAAAGGCAGGCGGCAGACAAGGACAAAAGGATAAGCTAGGCTAATAATCAAAAACACGGCAAAGGCAGACAAAGGAAACGCGTTGTAATGTCACTATCAGTAAACAAGACTCGGCAATGTGAATGAGTGTGTGTGCTGCTTAAATACTGTGTGAAATCAGTCTTGAAGCAGGATCAGCTGTAGGAGTCTAATCAGTGGAGACTTGGGGCAGGTGTGTGTGTGTGGCATGACTGAATATGTAGTCCATTAACTGGCAGATTTATAGTTCCATGAGTGAGTGTTTACCAGCGACATCTGGTGGTTTGTTCGCTGGTGAACATGACAATTGCATTCGCAACTTCGCGCGAACAAAGCAGGTGTTTACTGAATAAGAGGATAAGTATAAGTATATAAGTAAAGTCTACAGCTATATTTTGCTTGTTTTGACATATTTAAAAATTTTGGCTAAGACATAATTTATTGTTTATGTTTGGTGTGGTCAGAGATAAATTGGGTAAATCCTTCATTTTGGGCTCTGAAAATTATGTGAAATAAAAACCAATTGTAATATATGAAACCCTGACCCATTTGCTCATGATTATTAAGCAAGCTCATAGGTATATATATATATATATATATATATATATGTGTGTGTGTGTGTGTGTGTGTGTGTGTGTGTGTGTGTGTGTGTGTGTGTGTGTGTGTGTGTGTGTATGTATGTATGTATATATATATATATATATATATATATATTTAATTAATATATTTATATATATTTAATTGCTATTGCAATTAAAGACAAAAATGAGACTAGTTTTGCTAGTGTAAAATGTAAATAAATTACAGTAAAAGTACTGTAAAAATGTCATACTGTAAAAATAAAATGTGTCAAAAGGCATTTCACCAGACTGATTTTAGGTCTTATTGTTAGCCTTACACTAACAAAGTTATTTTGCAAATGATAACATGTATCATCCCTAACACACACACACACACACACACACACACACACATACACAACACCTCTGTTTACCGCTTGTGTTAACATCTGTCTTGGGTGATGCCATCACAAACAGCCGTTTGAGAGCGAAAGCCCTTTATGGCAGGTATTAAAGCTGCTATAAGTGATTTTCGGGGAATATGGCTCATAAAACGTCCCTGGCAAACATCAGTGAAAGCGGTGTCTTGAGAAATCACACACACATCTCTGGGAGAACACAAAGATCTGCACACAGCAACAAAAACATTTAATGATCTAAAAGGTTTTGGCCAATCAGAAATGCTCTCTGCGTGTCAATCAATTTGGACATCTGGGTGTGCTGACAGTGGAGCGGTTGACTTCTTTTGAAAGTTTTGGGAGAAATTGGTCAGCAAAAATTGCAGAAATTACCTTGCAGAACTTTTGTAAATTCTCCAGTGGCCACTTTTGTTTTGGACAGAACTGAACTGCTCTCTGATTGGACCCTTTTGTATAGTACTTGTCTAGATTTTCCAGAAATGATCTCGATGTCAAAAATATACATGTGACATTCACATAGTTATATCTATTAAGATCACTCACTCACTCAATCATACACACACTTGTACAGCTATCTTTATGGGGACTTCCCATAGACATAATGATTTTAATACCATTTAAACTGTATTTTCAATCCCCCTAGCCCTAAACCAACCATCAAAGAAAACAATCTGCATTTTACGGTCTCAAAATACTTAATTCTGTGTTATTTATGAGCCGTTTTCATCATGGAAAAAAGTCTCCACAGGGTCATAATGTACTAATATATATATATATATATACAGTGTGTGTGATTTTTCCAAATAGAATATAACCTCTTAATCCTGAAACATCATTCCAGTTCGAAAATACCTCATACCTCATCTGTACCCCTAAACCCAACCCTAGCTTTAAATTATTCCCAAAATCAGAGGAGATTAGTAGTTGCAATAGTTGTAGAAGCACACAAACCTAATTGTAAACCTAAACTTAATATGGACTGTATCTCTTGAATCTCATTGGCCGACTAGAAGTTTGTTCCAGGAATAACATCGATGTTGGACAAATTGCATAACCATTGCTATACTTGTGGGGATATTTAGTCCCCACAACATAAGGAACACAAAGCACACACACAGATATCTTGGAGACTTTTCATAGACTTCAATTGTTTCTACACTGACCAAAATATATTTCCCATCCCATTACCCCAACCCTACCCTAAACCTATCTCTTACAGAAACCTGTTTGTTTTTTTACACATTCAGATAAGCATAATTTAGTACTTCTTTCCATTATAATCCGTATCAATGTCAAAAAAAAAAAATCCTTGGTCTCCATCCTCAATCATCATTTATTGTTCATTTAATTGCCCAACAACAATACTGCGATTCTTAGTGTGCTTCACACAGGTGAGTGGGCTTGACAAACCACCTGTCAGACCAGCCTGATCTCACGAGAAAACGTAAGTATTTTACGTTTTGTCAGTTTAGTTACGAGTTCAGTCGTATGAATATGTACGATTTTAAAAAGGAGGACAATTGTCTGATGAAGAGCCGGGTGGCTCGAAACGTTACACGCTCTGTGTCAGCCTTTTTAATTTAATAAAATTTGTAGTTTTGGAGCCTTGGTGTTGCCGCCTTTGATTTACATTTATATTAGCTAATTAAATAATAATAATAATAATAATAATTCGTTACATTTATATAGCGCTTTTCTGGGCACTCAAAGCGCTTTACACAATGGGGGGGGGGATCTCCTCATCCACCACCAGTGTGCAGCATCCACCTGTATGACGCGACGGCAGCCATTTTGCGCCAGACCGCACACCACACACCAGCTGATTGGTGGAGAGGAGACAGAGTGATGATATGCCAATCATGATATGGGGAGGGTTAGGAGGCCATAATGGACAGAGGCCAGTGGGCAGATTTGGCCAGGATGCCGGGGTTAAACCCCTACTCTTTTTCGAAGGAAATCCTGGGATTTTTAACGACCACAGAGAGTCGGGACCTCGGTTTAACGTCTCATCCAAAATTAAAAACCTCATGTGAAACTCTGAATCTGTGTCTCATGTTGAAGTCTGCTACTGTCCACTGGAGGTTGCATTTCAGTCACGGACACATGCTTTGAGAATGAAATGCACTGGTTTCCACAATCCGGCGTGTAACGCACATTTTTAAAGCAGAATATCCAATTTTAGCATTGTTTTTCAGATAAACAAGAATGTACACTGTTCATGTTTTTTAAATATCTGCAAACATATTATGGTATTTTTATGCGTTAGCAGAGTCAAAAACTTACATACAGCACCTTTAAACACAAAGAAGACTTATGGGAAATTAATAATGGCTTGTTTACACACTAGACACCAAAGACAAACGTTCAGAAACTACTAGGGATGTAACGGTATTGTAAATACCGTCATACCGCAATATTAATTTTTTTCGATATTACCGAAGTCGCATGACTCGGTAAAACTATAGGTCTTCTGAGAAAATTTGCTCAGGCGAATGAAGCGAACGGGAGATAGCTGAAACTTCATTTCCCATCAGCCCCGGCGTGGCCATAATCCTTTGCGGTCTGTTGTCGCTACAGATCCAGTAATGCGGAAATGGAGTGTGCTGCTAGTAGCGGAGATGAAAAAAAGATGGAAATGATCGAACCTAAAGCGGGTGT